ATTACTCACATCTATAAGGAAGCTAATTATGCAGCTAATGTTTTTTCCAATTTAGGCTGCAATTTGTTGGAGTTTATGGAATTTATGGGTTCATCTCTCCCGATCAATATTATTGGTTTGACTAGGCTTGATCGTTTGGGTTTACCTTATATTAGAAGTAATTCAGCTTTATTTCTGTGTGTGGTTCATTATTTCATTCATGACTTTGGTGATTGTGTCTATTTTGTTTTTTTTTTTTATTTTTCTTGATATATTTATGATGGATCAAGTTATTTGGCCATTTTTCTTTGAATTTGGGGCTTTTCTTACTCTGCCTACTTTAGTTGGACAATTTTAGGATTGTAGTTCTTTAGATGGGCAATCCTGGGAGGGGTTTGATATTATTGTGCCTGACATTAACATTTTATGTAATTACTTATATTATTTATATACAACTTTATCTGTTTGAATGTTTTTCCTATTCTCTTTTTAGTTGGACTATTTGTTCCTCTTTGGTTGGGAGAAGTTTGGAGATTATAATTGTAACCCTTTCCAGTTCTTGGTTTTTTCCAGAAGTAGCTTTTTCAAGAAATTGCATCACCTCGTGGTTCATCTTTTGCTTATTTTGTTTAAGGAAATCTTGTACAGCAGTATGGTTACGTCTATGTCTAATGCACAGGTATTCAAGTAGGGTTTTCTAATCCCTGATAATAAGGGGATATTTATTAATTCCATTTGGAATTATTTCATATATATTTACTTAAATGTATATGGATCACAACGTATATCCTATTACAACATTTCTTATTTTATCCTTGTGTTATTATGATTGTTTCTCGTTTGCAGTTATTTCCTCTTATAGGTGCAGTGGAATGAATTATATTTAGAAAAGGACACTAATTTTTATGAGAAGATTGTACTGAATTCAAATTTTTTTATCTTTTTTTTAGGTGTTGCCTAATTACAACCCTAGATTATTACTAGGTGATTTTATAACTCTTATTATTCAGGATAATTGGCTCTTAGGTATTATTTTGATCTTTGTTGCATCTCTTTCGATTATTAGCGAGCTAAAGGTCCCATTTAAGGATTTTGTAACCTCCTTTCTTTTCAAAATTTATCCCCACCCCCTTCTAGTTTCCCCTAAAAAAAGGTGGCGATGGTGGGAATTATTTACGAATCAAGCAGAACGTTTTTCTAAACCATGTCATATCTACATTGTGATATTGTTGTTGTTATTGAATATATGATTCCATGAAGGATTCTAGTTGATGAAATCTCTATATTACCTCCTTCTAAGGGTTAGAGGTGAAGGCTGGTGTAGGTGGTGGCACTTGTATGGGTGGTGGAACTTGTGTTGGTGCTAGTGCAGCTACAACTAGAGTTCTAGATGTAGGACCTGCTCCCTATCAAAATTTGTTTCCTCATGCTCATTCAGTTGTGTTGATATAAGAGAACCTGGAAAGAAGTTTTAGTGTAGAAAATAGGAATATTATGAGGAGGTGCAGGGTAGGTAACCACATTATTTTGCTTAGAGATAGGCAATAATATGACTAAGAATTACATTTTACTTTATTCTAGTTGAGGGAAATCAAATGGGTGTCAGATTGTTTTAAATAATTGATAAAGAATTTGGCTTCATCAAATTGAGTATCAAACATATGAAGTAGGTGACCAAGGAAAGAAAATTGAGTGATATTGACTTGATCTCCAACTCTAGGTATAGTAAAATTTTGATGAACATGCTAGAAAATAAGTGTATTTTGATTTAGGGAGTGGATTAGAGGTTGGTGTTTATTTACGATAACATTTGAAATGCTTAGATTGATAGAACTCAGATCTAAATCACCCTTAGAGGCCATTGATTGTGGTCGAGGTCCTTTTAAGAAAAGATGACATATGTTTTAAACTCCTACTTAAGGGCCTCTACGACTCTCCTACAGAGATATGATAAGAAGAGAAGAGGTTCAACACTAATCCTTAGAATTGCAAGGAATTATATAGGAATTTTGAGTTGAAAGGAAAAGTAAGGTTATGGATAATAATTGAGGTTATTGCAAAAAGATTAATCACCTCAAAGTTCAGTGCATGCTGAATTAACATTCTAGAGTTGATTTTGTGAGCTTCCTTTCATCTGTGGTATGTGGATTCACCTTTAGTGATTGAAACTAATCATCTACAAGGCGATGAGAGGAAGAGCCTCTTTAGGTAATGCGATCACATTTTCTTCCTCAAGCTAATTAAATTTGTAATTTTGTGAGCGTAGGAGTTGATTAAAAAAAGTATTTGAAGGATTTGAGTGAATTAAATCATAGAAATCCCTCCAATTTATAGTTTTTTTAATAATCTTATAATATAATTTGACATCATACAATATGATTAGAAGGAGTTAAATAATTTAGAAGTTGAATTAGATTATCTTATGAGATTTTGTTCATCTTGTGGAGCCATATGTACGCTTTTTGACTAAATTGTTTCTACTATGTGAAAATGTGTTCATGTAGTACAAAGTGGAATTATAATCGTAATTGAAATTTGTGCAGGTTGTTAGACCTAATAGAACTGGCCCAACGCTAACCAAGAGGGGGGCATGAATTCATTTTTTTTTAAATCTCTTAGATTTTTTAAAACCTTTTTAAGAACTTTTAGACAAGCATAAATTTTAAAAAATATTTTCAATCAAATTTATATAAAGTGAAAAAAAAATGAAATTCAATAAAAAAGTAAAAGAATAGAAGAACATCAAATTTTTTGGTGGTTCTGTCCAACTAAACCTACATCCGCTCCCTGGAGACTCCTTCTCCAGGTATTGCACTAAACACAAGTTACTCTCTTTTTTCTCCCACAAAATGGTGCAGATGCCCTTATAAAACATCTCTTCCACCAACCTGATGAGGGAGAGAATAGTCATGCTTTTTCACCATCCTGGTGAAGGCAGAGTACCATCATCCTTTTTCACCCTCTTGGTGAAGGTTGAATACTGTTGTCCTTTTTATCCTCCTGGTAAAGGCAAAAAACTTTATCCACTCAGGATATCTTCTCTCAATAGTCTTTAAAGAAGTAACTAAGAGATTCTCACCTTAGGGCAACCTTATGAATCCCTCATAATATCCTCTTGCATGATCTCTCACTCTCCACTCCCAAACAGTCTCCCAAATCACTCTCATTTTTACTCTCAATAGAAATTCATGGAAAATAAATGATAAGTCAGTTTTTAGTACTCATTATACAGAAAATAAATAAAAGTCTATAAACTGAGTTTTTTAAAGTGAAATTGAGTCTGATCGTACAGTAGGATTATCTATACGAACATTTCAAAAATCATGGGATGATTTGGTATGAACACAATTTCATACAATGTTAGTCATCTGTATTATTTAAAGATCATTTGTATGAATTGTTAAAATTCATCTAGATGATATGGAATGAAGCTTATTTTTTACAATATTAGTTATCTATATGATATTAAGATAGTCTGTACTAATAATTTAATTTGGTATAAAGCTTATCTTGTACACTGTCAGTCATCTATATGATATTGCGATTGTATATACAAATAGCTAAAATTCCTCTAGATGATTTGGTATGAAGATTATCTCATACACTGTCAGTCATCTCTGCAATATTGAGAAAGTCTATATGAAAAGTTAAAATTTGTCTGGATGATCTGGTGCGAAGCTTATCTCGTACACTATTAGTCATCTGTATGATATTTAGATCGTTTGTACGAACAGTTATAAAATGTCTGGATGATCTATATGAACTAAAACATAAAGTGTGAAAAGGGTTAAAAAAAATTTATTTATATGTTAACTCTCTCCCCCTATGTATGCGTGCAATATTTTCTAATTACAATCACAATCTCTTAGACTCTAGAAAATAAAAATTAATGACTTTATTATGTGAAATCCTATTCTACTCTATATTGAAGTCTTCTATTATCTGGAGTATATTTTTCCTAAAATATTAGTACACACAAAACAAACAGAAATATATCCAATATACGTTAGGATAAAATAGTAGTCATAAAAATAATGTTTTGTTATAATCAAAACTTCACATTACAGAAAACTCAATCATGAATTCTATGTTAAAATAATCTCCCCCATTTTAATAATGATAAAATAATTATTATTTGAATTAACATTAAAGATCCTTCTTCTCCTAAGCTCTCCTCAATGAATGCTCAATTATAAACCAAGGGATTCTTAAAAAAACATAAGATCACAACGAATCTAAAAAACAAAGTAAATTCAAAAAAAAAAACAAAAATAAAACACATAGACAACAAATATAAAAACTTATCAAACAAACATACATACACACCCAACACATTAAACACACACGATTAAATCAAACAAATAATAAACAATGACTCCCCCTTTGACAACAACAAAAAGGGACGTTCCTCTTGAAAAAGTAAGTTACTATTGATAAATCTAATAGATGATGAAGAAAAGGATTTTAAACTATTTGCAAAGACAGCACTAACATCTTTATGGAAAAAGGAAAGTCTCAATTTTAATTCAAAGATTAACTAAGAGAAGGAAAGTCAACTAGGTTCATTGTTCATTATAGACCTATTTAATAAAATAATTATTTAAAAAATTATGAAATAAAGATCAATTTGTTTCCAATTCAGTAGTAGAGATTATTGTTTATTGAACGAATTTCTGTAAGAAATAGAGAGAAAAAGGAAAGAACTGTATGTTACATTTGATAGGTAGCATTGTGCATATTTTCTAATTTTGGCACACTTTGTGCATCTTTTCAGTTTGGGCTAATTTTGTGCATATTTTCATTTTTTGTGAACATTATGCATCTTTTAAACATGTGGCATATTTTATGCATCTTTTCATGCTTGGCATACTTTGTGGATCTTTTTATATTTTTAGTCTTTCCAACATCAATAAATCTTAAAAAAATCCAATAATTAACAAAAATAAACACATTGAACAAGAAATAAAAAGAAGATATCTTTTTAATTTAAACATGGAGCTTTTCACTTAACATCAATCGGGATGGACTGGATCCTTTGTTCCTTCAAGACAGAGGAAGCTGTGGAGGAGGTTATTAATAGCGGACTTTGGTTCGTTGGAGGTCATATAGTCAGAATGGATAGGTGGACCACTGATTTTGATCCTTATTCTTTTAGAGGGATCACTGCTCCCATTTGGATCCGTCTCCCCTGTCTGCCGCTGTATTGCTGGGATGATGACAACATTGCAAGAATTGCATCTCGAATTGGAACGCCGATGTATTTTGATGGTAATACCTTCTATTGTGGGAAGAGGGAGTTTGCTCGAATATGTGTTAAAATGGATTTAGAGAAGAAGCTACCAAACGGTGTTTGGGTAGAAGGAGCTGCGGGTAGGTTTTTCCAACATGTAGAGTATGAAAAGGTTGATTTACTCTGTTATAAATGTGGTCGTGTTCGCCATAATCAGAATGGATGTCCTGTTGAAGTTGCGCAGGGGATTTCAGATCAAACCACGGTTGAAAATCAGGAAGATGCTGAAGTAAATCTGGGGGTGATTAAGAAGGATTACGGACCGTGGATACATGTTTAGTTCAGGAAAAACCAATCTGTCAAGTCTTGGGGTGACGGGAGGAAGATGAAAGAAAACAGGACACTTAAGAGGGAGCAATTAGCAATGAAGGAAGATAAGTTGGAAGTAAAGAAAGGAGATAATGTTTCTAACCAGAGCTTCACACATGAAAATTTGCAGTCATTTCCGGTGACTGGTGGACAGCAAAAATCTGATATTGAAGTTCAGCCTTTGGAGGTTAGTAACAAATTTAATGCTCTTGTGGATGAGGTTAATGATGAACCTTCATTTTGGAGGATGTGAACATATTGCTTTAGCAATACAGAGCAATGGGAAATTGATAGATGAAGGGAATGAAGATTTAAAATCTGTTGAAATAAATGTGCAGGGATCGGCTTGTGACATACAGACTGGCAGTAATAAGGCTAAATTAGCCAAGGAAATAAAATCTTTGGGACCAATTATTTTAGGCCAGAAAAAGAAGAGAAGGGATGGAAAAGGGTGTTCCATGAGTGGGGAGGCTTCCCCTATCATGTGTTAATGTCTTCTATACTGTTTTGGAATTGCAGGGGGGCTAGGAAGAAGGAGGCCGCCTTGTATTTGAAGGAGTTGATTAGAGATCATGATGTTTGCTTTGTTGGTCTCTTGGAGACTAAGTTGACTCATATTGGAAGGAAGGAGGTTGATTATCTCATTGGGAATAGTTGGGATTATTTCCAAGTTCCAGCAGTTGGTTTATCTGGTGGTAAGGTGGTGTTTTGGGACACTAGAAGTGTTTCATTTATGGTTAGAAGTAATTCTTCACAAGCTATCGTGGGTGATTTTTTGATTCCTAAGATGAGTCTTTGGAATATTGCAACGAGTTACGAGTTATAATATGAATAATGTAATCATGTTGAAAGAGGAGGAAAATTGAGAAGTTTCAATCAATTTTTGATCAAATGGAGAATAGAAGGTGTGAGCTAAATGGATGCCCAACATTTCAGGAAAAACTGAAACAAACCAACAGGGCCGTTGGATGAACTTTGCTTGGATCTCTCATTGGCATCGAAATGAAACATCTCGATTTTCAACAAGGAAACATTAGATGCTCCAGGTATGGATGGATGTGACATCTTCTTTTTATAAATGCTTATTGGGTTTATATTGGAGTTCTCTATGAAATGCTATTAGTAGCTCTTAAAAGTCTGTCATTATGATTATAGTCTTGGAAGGACACCCTATTGTTTATGATTGCAACCAAAATAAAGATCATTAACTCCATCCAACTAATAGGGCCGATTGTTTTGTGTCAGAATTAATTACAAATTCGCAAGTACTATGTTGGTAAATAGATTGAAGGAAATGCATTTCAATATTATCTTCTAAAGAATAGATGGCCTTTAGTACCACTGGATAGATCCATTTCTGAACATATAGCTTGGTGGGCTCAAGAATTATTCATAAATCTTAAATTCTCCAAAAACAAGAAAGGTATTTGATGGCATTAAAGCTTGACATGGACAAAGCTTATGAAAGTATGGAGAATTTGCCAAGCATATGAGAGCAACATCTTGAATGTATAGATTCCCTCATATGTTTTCTATAATCTGCTAATGGATTGTGTTGTAGTGTAAATTTTCCATTATGATTAATGGAAGAAACTCTGATGGATTGATGCTCATAGTGTTTTTCGACAAGGATGTCCACTCTCTCCTTATCTCTTCATTATGTGCTTCCAATTGTTTTCTAACCTATAGAGCATAGGGACATGATCTTGGTATTCGGATTCTCCCCAAGCCCTTAGGATCACTCATCTTCTTTATGCAGATGATGTGCTTATTTTGCGCAATGTTTCTATTTCTCTTGCCAAATCCTTGAAGAAGATTGTTGAAGACTTTTGTAATTGGACAGGCCAAAGAATCAATTGCTAACAAATCTCAGATTTTATTTGGGAAAATTGTTGAATACACAATTAAGAAGAAAGTGGCCAATTTGTGGTTTACAAAAGTGTGAAGGAGATGAGCTACCTTGGGATCAAATTATCCTTAAGTAGATTGAAGATGGCAGATTTCAAGACATGCTTGGAAATGTTATGGATAGATTAAATGCTTTGGAGCAAAGAAGGATTTATCTTGGAGGGTAAAATCACTCTTATCTCTAGTTCTCTTTTAACTATGCCAAACTTTCTAGCTACCCACTCTCTAATTCCTAAGAAGATGTTGTATGAGGTGGAGAAACTTTGTAGAAAGTTCTTTGGCATAAATCAGATGGAAGATCATATCTTGTTTATGTGGCTTGGGAAGAATTATGCAAACCAAGGTTTGGGGTGGTTTGGGTCTTCATTCTCCTTTAATCGTGTTTAGCTCTTTGAGATCCAAGTTAGCTTGGGGTTTTTATCAAAAAGAGACTCTCTTTGCTATAAAGTTATAAATAACAAATATGGAGATGATTTGAGGATTGGAACTCATAAGAATTGTTCCTCAAATGCTTGGAAAATTCTGTTGATGGGGGTAACAGCTAAAGAACATTACCAGTGTGAATTGTGGGTAATGTGATAAAATTAATTGCTTAATGACACTTGGGTGTTGGACAAGTGTATTAACAAATGGCCAACTATGGTTAAACTGTGATGCTTTGGAGGGTTTAATATAAGCCATTTGTTAACTAATGATGGAAAATGGAACTACAACCTTGCTCAAGGAGGTCTTTCATCCAGATTTCATTCCATGATCACAATATCCAGATTTCGCCTGGATTGGAGGATCGGAGAGAGCTGCTGTCTTTGCTGTCGGGTAAGACAATTTCAGCCTTGTCTTTTGACAACATCTTGAAGTGCAATTACAAATTTGAATGTGAATACTATTTTTCTTGTTATTTAAACTTAAACTCAACAAGAAGGTTGAGATTTTCTGGTGGAATTAGGAAGGCTGCTATTCCTACAATGATTTTTCTGCATTACCGAAAAACTGGTGCTGATTAAAAACTGTGTTAGGGGCTGTAATGTAGTGAAAATTATGAGCACATCATGGTAACTTGTAAGTATTTAAATGATGTTATCAAACAAATACAATTGTGGGTATTAGTATCCCTGTTTTCCAATATTTGAATAGCTATTAAAGGAGCTGAGAAGGCTATCTGTCCGAAATTCTGTGGAGCTGTTAAACTGTACTCATTGCTGTGTATCTTTCATGGAGTAATATAAATCATGTTAAGCATGGGAAATCTGCTTTGCCATCTTCTGTGTTACAGCTGCTAACACATTGGCATTGCTAGTATTAAGTAGTCCATATCTCTCACGCTGGGGAACCAATCTCCTTAGGGAGTCTGTGAATATTTGGTCCCTCCTCCGAAAGAATGGATGAAAAAATGTTGATGCTTCTTTGGCTAGATCCAACTGTGCTGGAGTGGGTGGGTTTTCAAGATCACAAAGGAAGGTATCCTTGCTTTTGGAGAAAAGAAGACTCATTGGGATAAAACCAAACTAGAATGGATGTTGCTTTCTCGGTCAAGGACTACATTAGAAGTTGTATGCTAGAATGCAAAGAGCTTGATTGTTGATGTTAAGATAGTTACTTTGCATGCTTTACATTTTGTAACTTATAAAGTTTTGATGATTCCAAACATTATTGTTCAAATGTGTAGTTATCTCCTAACATTTTTTAGAATAATTGTATTTTCTCTTGTGTGTACTAACATTTCAGGGAAAACGAACTCCAGATTACGATGACTTCAAATTGAATTCAACATGAGATCTCTGTAATATTTGAAGCTTTTACTTTCTTTGAAAATAAAAAAAAATTGAAAAGGGACTGATTGTAACTTGAGTGAATAAAAACATACACACCACACATGAGGAGATCATATAAAATTTATATGATCGTACAGGACGATATACGTTCGTACTGGACGATCAGACAGTTATCTCCCATAGAGCATATGGAACGAATAGGAAACTTGCTCGAAAAATTTTTTCTAAGTCGTATTCGTCCAGGACAAAATAAATTATCGTCCAGGACGATTGGCTCTCTGGAAAATTTTCGTCAGACGAAATTAAATTATCGTCCGTGGCGACTATTTCTCTTGGAAATATTTCATTCAACGAAATTAAAAAGGTCCAGGACGATCGGGTCTCTGGAAAATTTTCGTCCAGACGAAATTAAATTATCGTCCGTGGCGATTGGTCCTCTAGAAAATTTTTGTCCAGATGAAGTAAAGAATCATCCAGGACGATCGGTCCTCTGTAAATATTTCATCCAGGACGAATAATTTTTGTCCAAACGATTAACCGACTTAGGACAGTTTTCAGCAGTTTCTAGAACCGACCTTGAAAATTGATCAGCTGTACGAAGACTTTTTGTACACATATTCAAATAGGGTCATTTCAGATCGTTTAAGTAAAATCGTCCAGGACGATCACGAGTCTACAGACATCCACTGCGTACAGAATTGAATACTTGCAGTTTTGGCGGTTTTTCTTGTTCTTTGTATAAATAGTCCAAATTAGACTGCCACCCAATCTTTTGTCATTTGATCTTCATGCCTCTTGAGAGAATAGCCAAGGAGAGAGTGGAAGAGCAGCATTCAAGGGAGGATTCTACCACTGGAGCGAGAGAAGCTTCACTTGGAGTTCAAAGGTAAGAGTCTCTACTTGTGAATTGGGATTACTTCACTATTTTCCTTCTTCTTCTGATTCTTGTGAGAAGATCTGTCAAGGAGATCCGGTTCTCTGTCGATACTTGGAGAGGTGAACAGCCGAAGGTCTCGCACACACTGGAGAGTGTGAACAGCCGAAGGTTCTCTGCCCACACTGGAGAGTGTAAACGAGGCTTAA